CACCTTGGAGGATTCTTCTTTCCAAAGAGAAGAGTGTAAGATCCTACAGTCTGTTAATTTACTACTCTGCCTTCTGTATTTCTGTTATACTTGCGGCTAATCGTTGGATCCCGCAAAGACAATGGCACCTTTTGAGACAAAGGAAGCGCAGGATTCTTCGCAATACTCTAGGTGCGGTCAAAATATTCCCTACAATTATATTCTGAGGCACACCTGGTAGGGTGCTTGCCTAATGAGGACCTAGTTGCAAAAATAAGTAGTGCACACGAATGCCGGCTTCAGGGACTGGCGATTTATACAGGTGAAGATATAGATACACTCTTTAGGTCTTCGCATGTGCTCACTAGGTCTACGTGTACGTAGTGGAACCGATCGTCGACGACGAAGAACAAACCCATCGGGCTCTTTTTACGTCGAGTAACCTTGTTACTTTGGCAAGACTAGTAATGGCGTGCCCATTGGCGGAAGTACGTCTCGATGTTATGCCAAACATAACAATCAGTGATGAGTTTCACTGACGCTCGGAAGCCCAAGTGTGACAAGCTATGCAGTGTCTCGAAAACCCTCTTCCGTAAGATTGATGGGACTACTGGCTTATGGTGACCTGGCGAGATGCCGCAATAGACCTTGTTTTCCGAGGGCCGAAGTGGCTACTGTTCGATGCAGAGCGTTGACTGCTAGCGCGGTCGCTCTATGTCAGTTTCGCCGGCTTGTGATGTGGCGATATCCTGTGAGTCCATAGCCGGCATTAGGTGTTGCGTATCAGTTGGAACAACCTCTGACCCTTCTGGGATTATCTGCTTCTTCTATTTCGCTAACTGTCGTTGCCTTCCAGTTCTCACGGTCTTTCTTAAGGCTCCACGTGAAATGACGTTGTAGACGCCACCTAACGCTGCCTTGCTCCCGGGTGGTTGCGAGTTGCCACTTTTCCTCCATCATTGCTACTGACTCATCAGATATCCAATGCCTCGGGCCGACTACTGCTTCAGATCCCCAAGCAACGTTCGCTGCGGAGTGCATTGCTCGGCTAATCTGATCCCATTTTTCAGTTACACTACCANGACAAGCTATGCAGTGTCTCGAAAACCCTCTTCCGTAAGATTGATGGGACTACTGGCTTATGGTGACCTGGCGAGATGCCGCAATAGACCTTGTTTTCCACTTCGCGTAACCGATGCATTGCGGTCAGGTTCTTGTTAGAACTAAAGGCTTTGGACGAGAGCCCTAATCGTTCTCCTGCTTAGTGAATGAATACCCTGGCAGTACCCGTCCATGAAACTCAAATGCATTCAAAACCAAAAAGTAATATCATACAGCATCGTCGTCGCACAGGATAATCAGGATCGCGCTGCGCATTGCATCGAGCGGGGTGGCTAGTGATAAGTGGACTACTGCTCGGATATCCCATCCTTTGTTTAACTCTTTATCTTCCATATCCAACCCTCTCACCTTTACTCCTTTTTCCAACCAGTACCATTTCCTTGTTCGTCACTCGTTAAAGTTCGTTACCAAACAACCCGGTAAGTAGTTTACCACAAAATACGGCGCAGATTATGAAGCCTTGTCAGCCAGTGAATCTGAGGGTCTTAACTCTCAGACAGGTAGGTCAAAAAGCGTGTCTGGCGCGTACAATGGTCTCTATAGGGATTGATGTCTGCTGATTGTCGGTGACTGGAATCCGGGATCCTAGTACTATATGCCACCTAAGTGTATCGGGTTGTATTCCTCCGCACGTCAGGTGATGACGTCGCTCTTTCAGTAGGCCAGCGTGGTGTGGGTATTGTACTGAATAATACAGCCGAAGCCGCACTACTCGATTGAATCCCCATCAACAGCCACTTATGTGCAATGCGGCTCCAAGGGTCTATCAACGTCCCGAAGGGAAGCAACAACAACAGGTATTTATTCATCATTCCAGCGTATGCAACGGCCAGCCGCAGTTCTGATGCAAAAAAGAGCGAGTTTTATGATAATTTCACCGAACTTATTCGTTCGAGCCGGAAGCTTCGATATAGTTATTCGCTCAGGTGATTCTGAATCTCAAGTTGGAAAACTGAGCACAAGGGAAGCTTGCCTAGGCGGTTGTTGTGTTCTGCCCTGTCAGCGAACAGATAATGGCAATCGAGTTCTTCAGTTCTGCGCAGATTATCATCTGTTCCTATCCAGCGCAAACTTTCGGCACAGTTCTCAACGGACAGCAACATGCCGCTAAAATTCAACTGGCACGTTAACTCAGATGGACCACATAACAACTAGGGCCAGAGCTTAACGCAATGCGGGGTGGTAGTGTAACTGAAAAATGGGATCAGATTAGCCGAGCAATGCACTCCGCAGCGAACGTTGCTTGTGGATCTGAAGCAGTAGTCGGCCCGAGGCATTGGATATCTGATGAGTCAGTAGCAATGATGGAGGAAAAGTGGCAACTCGCAACCACCCGGGAGCAAGGCAGCGTTAGGTGGCGTCTACAACGTCATTTCACGTGGAGCCTTA